CAACTTCCATCAATTATTCAAATATTGTTGAGATCTTTGGAATAGTTCTGAAATAAAATACTTCTTTTAAATTCCAGGATTGATGATTTGAATCTGGCCATATAAAAAAATAATTCGTTGCTCATTTAGTCACCATTTTTAGAAATTATCAATTATTTTAGCGCATTTGATCTATTAGCTTTACATTAATGTAGGAAAAATTAAGTGCGCTGCCTCACAGGAAATCGTAAAATGAGTTCAATGCCAAGGAAATTTATGAGATATGGTTGTGTGTTCATCAAATGGAATGTTGATTAGTGCTATTGCGATGTGTGTTCGTGAAATCTGGTCTTTTATTTTATCGAGTGATCAATAATCGCTAACCGACTAGTTGATTGCTATTTGATTGTTTGGATGTGAATGAGAATTACTTTCGCTTTACGGTTGGCGAGGAGAATAAGTTGATATTGGTATTGGCGATTTATCTAACTGAACGCCTTAGATATCAGCGAATGTCATTGGGAATTCAGTTTGGTAGTACAAAAGAGGCAATTCTAAGAGCTAATCGCATTCCACTGATTCATTTCTATCTCATTTGATGAATCACTTCGATTGGAACAAATGTATTTGAAGCGAAAATTATTGAACGAAGAAGTTCTTTTTGAGCAGCTGTAGCAGTGAAGTGCAAACGAGGTTGATGCTTCAGAGAAGTGCAAAAATGACATCAGAAAGCATTCTCAGTCGTTTCTAAGCAATCCACAAACTGTAAATAGAATGTGGTGGTTTGCGTCGTTGAATCTCAGAATGGTTGCACTTAATTCTTAATTAATTCAAAGAATGAGTCAGTCCTATCAATGCACATAGTTTCAGTCACCACCAATTAGTGAAGACGGATTAGTGGTAGTTAGAATGAAGCCGGATTCACAAGGTCGATTCGGTTTTAATGTGAAGGGCGGTGCTGATCAAAATTATCCAATTATTGTGAGTCGAGTTGCGAATGGTAGCGCTGCAGACAGATGTAATCCACGGCTGAACGAAGGCGATCAGGTAATTCTGATGATTTGCTGCGTTTTCGTCATTACATCAGTGAGTATGGTTAAATGAAGTGAATGCAACTGAGATGAAGTCAACTTGAGACAGTCAAAATTGCACGAATCTGTGACTTTATGAATACTTTTTACGGGCGAATCAATTTCGTTTGTCGCCTTCGAATGCCAAATATCGAAAGGTGTTCGCGTTGTTCGATTAGCTTTAAGCAGATTCAAGGCGAGTACCAACGATGTATTTGCGAATGATTCAGGTACTTATGATTAACGGTGTTGATGTGACGTCAATGGCTCACGATCAGGTCGTTCGTTTCATTCGTTCGGTGCGGGAAACAATCAAAGCTGAACTCGTCCTTACCATTCGACCTAACGGTAATCTTTCGTCGATCCATAAGTGTTCGGAATGGCTCTTCGTTTATCCAGAAGTGTCTTCTCCATCAATACTCCTTTAAAATTACAACTGAAACGAACTGTCGATATGGCTGAGTCGTCAAAAATAGCATTGTTATATATTTCACGTTAAAATCCTTATAATTTATGATCACACTTGACTTTTTTGCAGTTTATCGATGTGGTGATGAAATTGAAGAACCCGATGTGATTTGTGTTCCTGAAACACCCCACGTATCATCTTCAGTTCCGCGATCCGATCTTCTCTCACAATCCTTGTTACTTCTTAAAGAGTCACTTGTATCGGGAAAAGTTATCTCACAATTTGATGTTCGTTTGTTTTCCCGTCTTGTTCGCTTCTTGCAAACAGTTCTTTTGAAGCCAATGCTTCGTTTATGGAAGCGATATTTTCATTGATGAACTAAAGCAGAATCCTTTCATTCATTCGATCCGTTCAGATATCTTCTTTTCGTATTTCAGTTCTAGATGTTATGCTTTAAGGACTGCAGTTGAACGCATCGTATTCGTTGTACATCACTTACAACCGCAATTTTGATGACGCATTCTCATAACCTCTCTTTTGTGAACATAACTTGTTATAGTTGACAGAATAATTATTCACGAAAATTTAATGATATCTTTTCATTCTCTTTTCATCGCACCCTCCTCCAGAAATCAGCTCATGCATCAGTCATCAGCTAACGCGCGCTACACATTCACATTGGCGAGCGATGAATCGTTCCAGTGATCGAAAAATTCACAGGGAATTATGATTTTACATATGAATTGCAAATGCTATTCAATTCTAGTGGATAATAGATACTGTAGAGTTTAGACTGATAAGGTATGAAATGAATGAATTTGTTGTTGCAATTTTCAAATTCATTTTAATGCATGATGCGGTGATATTGAAATGATTCCATGCAAAAAGAGGGGCTTCTACTATTTTGGCACATCCGCAAAGATTAAGTGATGTCTAGCTTAAGAAGGCAAGCATCAAAGGCGGT